GGGGGGGAGCCTTGAATGGGAAGTGGGGAATTCTTACCTTTCAGTCATCTAGGCCCCTTTGGCCTGAACATGCGACTGCTCCAAACTCGAGCTAGCAGTAACACCAATCAACATTTGAGCAGCTCACAGTATAATGTGTAACAAGGCCCTAAGTCAGCAGAATCCTATCTTTATTAGGGAGCTGTGTTGTCACTCAATTTAACTGACCTTAAAATGTAAAAAATGCTTGGCCCTTCCAAACTGTTTTCTGAGATTATGAACTGTAAAAGATGTCTCAAGATCTATTATAAAACATATACATCATTTATGATTAACATAAAGATTGTTTGTTGGAGCTAAGGAATGACCTGAGCCTTACAGGTTTATCATGGTATATCAAAATGTGTTTATTAAAAGCTGACTCAAGTCAGTCACTATACCAGAATGACAATATCTTAAATGTTGTATTCAAAGTAGATTTATTAGTAAAGTTGTATTTAATGGTGAAACAAATTAACGCAGTGTTGCAGCAAAATGAGCAGGGTAATTTGCCATTGCATAATTCTAGTTTTATGCCAATTAACTCTATGAATTTCACTGGAATAAGATAAGAAGTGACCTGTTATAGGTTATTGCACAATACAATGAGAAAAACTTCACTTATGACCAAAAACATTGTGAGTAAATATTATAAAGTAATCACTCTTATTGTTATTTTTCTGCTGTAGTTTTTAATAGTTTGATGATAGCTTTGCAATGTATAAAAAAACATGTCAGAGTCTACAGGGAATCCATGAAGAAGGCATTTAGATTGAGGGGTCTTTTTTGGTTTTGAATTCTGGGTCTGGATTAAGGGAAAGGGGTTTTTTTTGGTTTTGTTTTTTTTTTTTTACTCCTTTTTACTTTTACAGGTTTTCTAAACTTACTATTTATAACATAATCTCTCTCTGTAACCAGAAGTGACTGGGGAATAGATTAGAACCACAGCATTCTCACCTCATTGTTAAAAAAAGAAACAACTTTCACACGCAATGTATTTGTTCCATAATCTGTGCGTATTTATGTGAAAACTCTTCAGACAATTTAATTTATTAAATTCCCAAAAGTTAAATCTGTCTCTGGAGCACTTTTTTTTTAATACTTACAATTTCAATCCAATAACCAAGAGCATTAGAATGTTATATTTTAAACAATATTGAACATACCATGCAAACACAGAGAAACTAGAAATATGATTCCCGCAAGGCAAGATTAATAAAACCCTGGAATAAGCCAGGCAACTTTCTTATGAATGTTCTTGAGGAAACAATTACAATGACAAACAGAATTAGACATTTTTACTTACACATGGGCTAGGTTTTACCGCATCACTTGGAAAGAAGCCAAGCTCTCCTGTAGCTAGATTTCTACCCTAGAAATAGGCAAAAAAAAAAAGAGAGAAAAAAATCCCATGATAAGAAAGGACAGTATGTATTCCAGATAACAGTGAATGTAGAATGTTTCATTTAAGCAAACATAGTAAGTGAATGTAATGTGCCAACTGAATTTTGTTAGGTAGTCATTCCTTGATTACAAGTGATTATACATGAGAAGTCTGCCATAGAGCAGGTGGGACAGGGATTCAGGAGGTCTGGGTTATCATTCTCATCTTTGCCACCAACTGACAAGTGTTTTCATGGAAGAGTCAACTCTGTTTTTCTATAACTAAATTAACTCCAGTTGGCATACATCCAACAAGAGCAGTCCTGCTACAAATTAACATGTGAGCTGCATTGGGTTACCCCACAGAGCTGGTTAGTTAGCAGCTGAGGACTTGTGCTAACTCAAGTAGAAGCCTGTGACCCTGAGCAGTTCATAACACTTCCACACACAGGTAAGGTTTGTTGCATATAGATGGGATTTGAGCCAAGAGCTGCTCTTGAATTATAAATCAAGTTAACTTTGCAGTGAAGAAAAACTCTCTCATACCCAAGTTGCACTAAGCCTGGTAGCCAGTTTCCACAACAATGAATAGAAATAATAATTCTGTGGTCTTGGAATGACAAAAGCACTTGAACGTATAACTACCATGCACTGCAAATATTTCATTTTGATATTCAGATACTTATTGTTTCAGAGCTTTAAATAATTAGTAATAGACCGTGGGAAGAGAGATAAGGTTTTATGTCTTATTTCTCCCTTATAGATACAAAGTGCATTTACAAACAATTCTCATTAATGCTACTACAAGTTATCCTTCAACCCCATCACCATCCTCCCATCTTCACTGCACCAACAAA